ATAAAATCATGGTCTTATCGGTCCATTCCTCCTTGTATTGATCAACGGTTTTGGACACAACCGTTGTCACTTTAGTTAATGGGCAGCTACCTTCTTCTTCATTGAGTTCATCATCATCTTCTTCTTTTGACCAGGATTTATCCGAAGAGTGCTTGTCCTTGGCCTTTACTTCATCGTCATTGTCATCGTCATCATCGTCTTCATCATCATCATTGGAGTCATCATCATTGGAGTCTTCTTCCTCTTCCAGAGTGCTGGAGGCTTCATTTTACTTGTCCTCCTCCGGGGCTTCGCTTCCCTCCACACCCTTGTTGTCCTTGGACTCCAATACCATTGGATGCAATATCATGTATTCTTGTGATGCTTTATCATTTTCAATAATCGTGCAACATTTCCATTGTTGACATGGAAAGGTGTATGCTTCAACTGGAGTGCACTGAAAGTGTAGAAGGTCAACATCAGGTGTCCTCAATTCCTGTCTTGCCACGTTCTCAAACACTAGTAGCATGTGAGTCAGTACCATCTTTGAACTCAAAGACAACGTTTCTTTCCATTCCTGGAATGCTTCAAGACCGTGGGAATGTTTGGAATTGTCTTCACATTTTGGAGCGGCGAAGACAAGGGAAAAGCAACCCTGCAGTGGAACAAAAGTTGCCGAGTGAATTCCAGGTAATACTAACAAAGGATCCATTTTGTATAAGACCGGATGTGGGTTTCCTAGTGTAGTCCCATACCAACATCCGGCAAGGGCCTTGTCGCCATCAAGAGTGGGAGCGTTCATTCTGCTTAAGAGACTGGAGAAGCCCAAGTGGTCCGTCCTTCCGATTTGAAGCTGATAACAATTGGAAATAGCCCGTTTGTGGTTTGGGTCCTGTTCAAGGAAGTTTAAAGTAGGATTATTGTTGCATTTTGGATTGTCCATTTTGTCACCAGGAATGTAGACGACCGGCATGAAAAGGAGACTACAAACGCTGTCAGATTTATTCCTATTTTCATTGAAATTCTTGGAAACCGATAATTGTCTGACACGAGAATTGTTGCCAATGAGTCCGGCAGCACCTTTGGCAACTCCATGTTCAAATTTGGAGATGTAGAAAGATGGTTGTGGGATGTAGATAGATGGTTGTGGGATGTTTGGAGCCAACATGATGTTGCTATGCAATTTGAATTTTCAAATCGGTCTTGGATTGTACGAAAATTCTGGTACTGGGGCAGCGTAGCAGCCCTACAATACTAGGCTGAAGGAGGAAAGTGGGAAAAGTTGGATACCGCTTGAGGATTGGCACATCAAAATGTACATAAAATGAAGTACTAGAGATTGTCATGACGGGCTCGCTGCGTCAAGACCAAAACCAACAAACACAGAAACTGTTTTCAAAACTGGAGGAAACAGCAATGGATTCCTAGTGCAATGGATAGGAAGGAATCACTGTGCCCAACAAACAACAAACAGTATGATGATTGGCTTCAGAAGGTGATGAGCAAGGTTGCCCTTTGAAAGGACGACTGGAGATTGAAATCAATTGACGTCGAATACCATTGCTGTGGGCAGATGTGTTTGTTGTGTTGGTGCAGCGCCGGCCAATTTTGAGTTATGATGGTACAAAACTGTACAGAAAAAACCCGTACCAATCTTGGTATGCTCACAGAACATCACTGGCCTGTACATTTGCCAGGATATGCAAGGACTGCGACTGCGGTTTTTGGTACTTCTCCATGTACTGGCAGTCGGAGAAGTCAGCCACCCATGGAACATCTTCAATGATCAACAAGAACGGTTTTTATTCCGTGCTGGTGGAGGAGGAAACAATCAACAAACAAGTGCGTCTAAACTACCTATTGAAATGATGTTCAAGCACCTCTGAGCCAATTACAATTTCTATGCTTTTGTATCGCAGAGTGAATCCAAAATTGGGGGCTTATTGCACCACGATTTTTGATGTCTCAAATACTTCCAAGATCCGAAGCATGAAAGTTCTGTCAGAAGTGACGGCAGCTGGTCTTGTGTCAACAACAAACCATTTGTGTCAACAACAAACCATTTGGAAGCAAGGTGA